TCTAATATTACTGATATTTTCTTTACTTTTAACCTTGATCCTGTTTGGGTATAATTGTTAGCTTTTATAATTTAATTTAAACAAATGGTTTTCTTTAGTTACTTTTGGAGTACTCCAAATTAAATCAAGCTATCATATTTATTCTTATATAGAACTCTCTTGCCTTAAAAAAAATGTAGCATTGGGGGCTGGAGAGGTGGGTCAGCGCTTAAGAACACTGGTTGTTCTTGCAGAAGACCTGGATTCGAATCCCAGTACCCACATGGCAGCTGACAACTGTCCATAACTCCAGTCCCAGGGGATCTGACAGCCTCTTCTGACCTCCACAGGCATTGCACAAAATGGGTGCATTTACCTACATGGAGGCAATACGTGCATACACATAAAATAAAATAAAAATTTTAAAAAGTAACATCATAATTTTCAATTATTTATAGGGGCAGTTGATTTACTTAATATAGATATTTTACCTAAACAAGATGTAGGAGATACTATATCCAATTAACACATATTACTGTATCCCCAGTACGTAGCATAGTTTTTACCATGCCATCAGGTCTCAAATATAGATATTTTTTCATAGCTAAATGAACAAATAGTTGTAAATTAAATTATAGAATTAGTACTATATTCAACTTAATTCTACTTTTCACTTAACAACTCTGGGAATTAGTTGGTACATGCATCTTTTCTCAGACATAGGATTCCCCCCTGGCCAATTTCTCTTCAAATATGGAGCTTGTGATTCTTGAGATCCAGAAAACTTTCCATCATTGCTTGAGATCCAGAAAACATTTTCCATCATTGCATCAACTTGAATTTGCTGTATGTGTTCTTAAATTGGCATGTATCTGTTCTCTGGTGTGCTTTAATATTGACCAATTCTTATTCCCATTTGGAATTATGCCAGGGTACCTTCTAATAATTATTTAACACCTACACATTCTGTGACTAACAAAAAGTACATCTAATAGAGTGATTTATCTAGTTATTTCTTACTAGATATTTTTTTCATGAGGACACTGAGCTTTTTATTACGGAGAATATTTTTCAGCCTAGGTATAATGGGCCAAATAGCTTTCTTCAGCTGCTCCAATGTAATTATTTCCTGCCACTAACTAAGCAAAGTGGCACATCTGTTGACTAGATGAGAAAGCCAGAATTAGACTTTCCAAAAGCCAGCACAGTGGTTTCCTCCTGGCACTCTTTTTATGTGCCTAAAGAAAGCCTTCTGCAGGGGAACAGGAAATCTGTGAACACGCCATGGGGATTCCCAATCGAATATTGTCACATTCTTTCTACCCATTTGTGAAGTGGCAGAGACTGTGAGAAGGTGCTGCAGTTATTTTCAACACCTCTAAGGCGTGAAGCATAGCTGTGTCTCTGGATTTGATATTATATAAGCTACATTTATCTTTTGATAGGCCTGAGATGTATAGGTTCCCCCAGTTAAGAGATTTAAAAGGCAACCATTTTCCAGCAGCACCACAACCAATTAAACGTAAGAAACTCAAATTTAAAGTGACTGGTGCGCTGAACTGTTTAGGTCATTACAATTATACTGTCCACTCAGCAAGGCCTCAGCTGGTCATTCATTTGAAATCATACATTCATAGAGGAGCATCACATTGTATTTGTTGGAAGGTAAGATTTTACCATCAAATACTTAACTTATATCCTTTAATATTTGCATCCTCATAATGGAATTAATGGCAATATGACCTTAGTGAGATTCATTATTGGCCATTATAATTAATTATTTTGTTGATAATTTGTCATATTGTCAATCTGGAGATACTTGAGTTTAGACCATCTAAGAACAAAGAAAGGGTTTGAAAATTGGCCATGGTAAGAAAAGAAGAAATCTCAAACAGTGAGTTCAAAACCTATTGCAAAAGAGAACTACATGAAGAAAATGCAAATTTGTTTTCCCAAAATACAGGATTCATCAGGTTTCTAGCCATCTTTGGTAGGTTTTACATTGTTCCTTGCTGATTTTAGGATAATACTGAAGCATTCCTTACTTAGCATCATATTTTATTTTTCCAAAAACTGAATTCTTGCTAAATTCTGTAATGAACATGTCTCTGTTCTAATAAAGCTTTATTCATAAAAACAGGAAATGGCTTAATTTGTTCTGCTATTACTTATTTTCTTACCTCAGTCTAATTTATTGCTCTCTGAAACACTTAGCAAATGACTTGCTTTCTAATATTTTTCTTCATAGTACAAGAAACTTCTTGATGTACAGCCAACATGTCAACAAGTAGGAAGCAATGATAAAAATGGTTGACAGGGTACTCATCTCCTGTTAATTTAACAGAAAATTCCTGTATCATCAGTCTATCTTTTCCCACATCTCATTTGCCACTCCTTCATGCCAAGAACCTGGCAATATAGTCATTCAAATGGATATATATTCACTTAGTAAAACTAGGATTTTGTTACCAAGGACACAAAGAAGGATGGACATTGAGTGAACTTTGTTCAGTCTGTGCTACACTTACCAGATACTGGTCACCTAGTTGACAAAAAGTGAAAAGTACAATTTGCCTCTGTCTCAGGGTGGTGAATTGGGAAGATAGAATGGTGGAACACATGCTTTGAGTACTGTGTCACTCATAATGTGAACTCTCTTTAAAGCTAAGGCACTTTGGGATTAGACTCATTTACTTCTTTTCTGTTTTGCTCTGTGCTGTGTCTCTAGTGATAAGAATGTTGGCTAGTGCTCCAGAGGCTTAACATTTTTAGAATAAATTAGTAAACTGCCATTGTTGTCTCTACAGATTTAGTGTTGTAAAGATCAAAACTGATTTGAGCCCACCTTTTCTGCAATTTAAAAAATATTTGATTAATATATAATACATAATTATACATGTTTGTGATATTGTGGCATGCCTTCACTTCTTTATTGAAGGGACATCATTAGCTTGTAGAAGTGACAAGAAAGCTGAAGAGTCAGACTCAGACAGGGACCAGTGTCCAATTATTACTGTAATGAGTTAGGTACAATTGTTTTCACCCTGTCCTTGAATCACTTCACTGACAGTTAAGCCCCAGGAGAGAGCATGTATTGAGTGAAATGTGACTGAATCGTCTTTCTCCCTTTGAATGGGGAGGACAGGGCACATCGTTTTACGCAGCCGCAAATGGAGTGCAGCAAGAGTTAGGATGAAATCAGTGTAGAGGAAGACACAGATATATCCATTATATATGTCCTGAATGTGACACAAACTGGAGACCTGTGAAGAGGGAACCTCAACTGAGGAATTATCCTTTACATTGGCCTGTGGGTATGCCCCTGTGGCATTTTCTTGATTTTGAATTGATGTAGGAGGGTCCTGCCCACCACTGTGAGTGGTTCCATCCCTGAGCAGGCAAGCCTGGGCTGCATAAGAATGATAGTTTAGCAAACCAGGGGAAACAAACCCCTAAGCGAGTAAGTGGTGTATGGTCTCTGCTTCTGTTCCTGCCTCCAGGTTCCTGCCTTGGCTTCCCTAGGTGCTGGGTTGTAAGCCATAATATGAAATAAACCCTTTCTTCCCCAAGATGCTTTTGGTCTTGGTGTTTATCACAGCATCAGAGAAGCAATTTGCTGACACATCAGGATCCCTTTTTCCTCATCAAATAAGAAACTAGTCCTTGAAAGACTGGTGATAGGCATCCTTTACAAGTAAGACTAAAAAGAATAAGACTTTTGTTGTTTGTTTTCCTCTATAGGACATGTATCCTGGCTTCACTGAATCACGTCTGTATTCTTAAGTCTTCCAATACACAATTTTAGAAACCAGGCAATCCTTCCCAAGCTTCATTTTCTATAAAGATCACAGTGCCAACCTGGTTGAATACTGAGCAATTGATTATAGACTCTGATAAAACACTGAAACCAGATGGATGTCACTTTTTATCTTTATAGATTTGCCAGTAAGTCTAAGCTCACTACAACTTAGGGATTTATTTTAAAACATGATTCACACTAGAGTCATATACTCTCATTAAGCAAGTTCTTGAGACATTTGGAATTGCTTTGGCACATTTATTGAAATTTTTAAAAATTATGAAACTATAATTATTGTCTGATTTGATTGCTATAAAAATTTTTATAGAACCCCCAAAATTTAATTGTGCCATGACAAATATAGGTGCCCATGCTGAGCGCCATTCAAGCTACTATGAAATATCTAATACATTAGCAAATTGTATGTACAAGGAGCCATAATGAAGTTATAGATTCTTATTAATTTAATAAGTTGGGCATTAGGATTCTTTGGTAATATTTAGATATTTAAACAATGATGGGTCTAGATTGTTAAACTTGGATTTCTTGTCCACTCTTGGAATGTGGACTTTAAGTAACAACACAGCCAGGCACAGTTGTACACACTTTTAATTCCAGCACTTGGAAAGTAGCGACACCCAGATCTCTGTGAGATCGAGGTCAGCCTGGTTAAGTTCCAGGCCAGCTAAGCGTACAGTGAGACCCTGTCACAAGCAACAATAAGAACAACAAAATTTTGAACAAGTACTTTACTTGATAAAGTTAGACTAAGAAAAATGTTCTTCATATTTTTACACTCTTTTTTTTGTGTATGTGTATTATTTTTTGAGACAGGATCTCCCTGTAGCTCCAGGTGGCCTGGAACTCACTATGTAGATCAGACTGGCCTTGAACTCACAGAGATCCACCTACCTGTGCCTTCCAAGGGGGCACAAAGGGATTAAAGGTATGCACCACCATGCCCGACTTGACATTTCACAGTCTTAGTTACATTTCTTTATATGATTTGGTGTTAGAAAAAGCATGTAACATGCCATTAGAGAATGATGAAGGAATTAAACATAGAATATGATTATGCAAAATAACACAAATTTAGAGTGCATTATTTAGGACTGATGAACTTTTATTTTTTTATACTTAGCATTCAAACCTTAACATTTTCCTTTGTACAATAATCTTTTCCTTTTGCTAATCTTTTGGTCTTACATTTTTCTTTTCACAGTGCTTTAACACATTACTGAAACTGCAAACACAACAGGTTCATGTTGACAGACTACATATTTTGAGAGCTGGGTATTTCATCATGAAACATGCCCTGTACAATCTTTGACGCTTAGAGCTCTGCCCAACACCTGGAAAACGAAGCCCTCACCTGGTATGTAAGGAGCTTCTCATCTCCACCATGACAAATCAGGAGAAATGGGCCCACCTCAGCCCCTCAGAATTTTCTCAACTTCAGAAATATGCTGAGTGTAAGTATTCATATTGAAAATATGATTAAATTTGGCATTTTTGTTAAACAAGGTATGATTGATTATAAGAACAAATCATGGATCCTGTTTATCTTGGGGACAGATGCAGGTATACCTTTTGTGTTCACAAGTAGGTCAACTTGAGTCTGCCTTTTCAGCATGAAAAAAGGGAAAAGTTGAACTAAATCAAGTAAAAAATTTAAAAGAATCTAGGATATTAAATACAAAACTAAGCTTGGAAAATACTCTACTGGTATAGAAATAAAACAAAGCAACATAAGACATTATGAACCTATCAATTCAAAGAACACCAAGAATAGGAATTCATAGACACATCGCTTCTTTATAATTGTGCCTGATTGCAATGGTGAGTTGCAGAGAAGGAGATGTGAGGAATTTAGACCAGTTTGTCCAATTAGCACTCATACAAATGGTAGACCATGATAATTCACTGTATGGCAGGAAAGTTTCGGGTAACATTCATTATGCATGTGCATTAAGATTTTATTTATAAGAAATTTGTTTTACCACGAATTTTCAAGGAATATGTCCTTTTTGATAAAGCAATTCTGGCCTATGATTTGAATAGCAGTTGGGCCCAGAAAAATAAGAAAGATAAAGAAGTCACTCATATATAGAAGGCTCTGAAAGTCTTGAAACACTCTGAGTAGAAGAACATTACACACAGAGAATATGACAGAATGGTGAGTGGAGGAAGTACCATGGTTACTGACAGGGCAAATTGACAGGAAATAGACAAGAGAGAAAGAGCCAGTAGCATGCAATAGTGAAAGGAGGAGGCCTGGAGAAACTGGTGATCATTCTGCAGAGAAGACCTGGCTTGTTGGCGCAGTGCCTCAGGCGTGAAATGAATAATGTAGGGAAAGGGCAGAAGGTTGAACACAGAAGGGGCTTCTATGAAGAATGTGAAAACATTAGTGTAAAAGAACAAATAGTAATACTTTTGGATGTTCTTATTATGATCCACATAAATAATCTGTGTTTTGAAAAGGCCACTTGCAGAACCCAGAAGTGTTCTAGAACTATGTAAACTAAGTGGCCAAGGTGTCCCACGTGAAGAAAGGAAAATAACAGTGAGAATGCACACAGTAGGTCTAAGTCCATCATTATAGTTCTATTAGAGTTCTCTCTGCTTGTCAAGATATATATCCTAACCTTGAAGGCATATATGTATACACACATACACACACACACACACACACACACACACACACACACACACACATATTTGCCTTCAAACCTATGTCCCCAAATGCTGTGCAGTGTGGATCCATCCACTGGAGCCTGGTCAGGATATCCAGTGTCACACTGGATAAAGTTTAAAGAAAACTCTCTCTCCCTTTCCCAGTAGCCACCAGTTGTCAATAGTCCCTTACCTAGGGCAGGGACCTCTTTCCCACCTCCCCCGTCCCTGTTGGTATTCTGTTTGTCTTGAGTTTATGTGAGTCTTGTGCATGCCGAAAGCACTGCTGTGGCATATAAGTAAACATTTTTGAGCATTTTTTTAAAGAAGAAAAGTCTTTCTTGGTGTTGCAAGAGATGCAAATATGGGCAGCTATGGACCCTGCCTTCAAAAGGAATTTAGAGTGCAATGAAGGCTGGAAACTGAGGGATTAATAACTATATTTAATAAAATATTTTAAGTGTAACAAGCAAAGTTTAAAAGCCTACATTGTTTAGCGGTTCAGTTGGAGTTGGAAAACATAAGCAATGCTTCATGAATAAAGCTGTGCTGGAAAACTGTGTTAAAAATATTGCGGTAAATGACATTAAACCTAGCAGAGAGTATTGTGAGAAATAATAAAAAATGAGAGCGAGAGCGAGCAAGCGGGAAAGCGAGAGAGATTGATATTCAGTATTTGAAGTATGGTTTCTACTGCCGATTGCTGCAGCTCCTACACCATCAAAAACATTTATAGGTCAAGCCATTGTGAGCCGGGAAACATCTGCACACCATAAAAATGCTTCAGTTCACAATCAATTTGTGGAAATACTTAGAGTAAGTAGATATATAAAGAAAACTGTAGCATACTGAGACTAAAATTAATAAATATTTAGTAACTAGGGAGCACAGAGCAATGATACAAATGAGAGAGCTATTGAAGTGGATTTTCTAGATGACAAATTATGGGTTAATTGTGAATGGTGTAAAAAATAATTCAGATTCCATGATCATTGCATTTGCTATTCTTTCTCAAATCATCAAGACAACATGAAAAATTCTAGATTTATTCCTCTAAATAGTTTCCTGCATATTAAGAAGCAAAGCATGTTATGAGTAGAATGCATTCCTGTGCAATAAATTACCATTGCAAAAAAGTCACTGGAAATATTTGTCACCTGAAGGTTATGAGTCACTTGCTTCCCATGATATGTGGTACATGCGGTCACCTAGTTGGACATTTAAAGATCAGATCTTTTTTTTTTTCATCTTGCAGTACCAGGTTGACAAAAGGACATTTGTATACATTGTGTCAGAAAAGTAACATCAGATTAACTTTCTTGATGTTTATTGCTTGCATATCTTTCCAAAAAGTTATTATTTTAAATGTATTAAATGAGTGATTCCCTAAAAAAATGTCATTGATCTGAAGTTAAATTTCTAGCATGTTAAGACTATACATTCAAATATTAAATAAATGTCTTATGTGCTTTGTAGAGTATGGCTGTGGAGTACTTGGACAGAACGAATGAGCTTATGGAAACCCTAAATCAGAAAAACTAAATCAAATTTGAGTCTAGAGATTACTACAAAGATCATTCTCGTTCCTTATCTGATTGTAGACTGTCTCCACATTGCTGAAATAGACCCTGTAACTATGATGGCTTTCTTCACTTCCTGCCTCTCTTTTAATGAGTCAAGGATGTATAGAGTGGTACTGAGATGGCCTTTCTGGTTAGGCAGCCAGCAGTACAAGTGTGTTGAAATTCATTTCCATATCTGAATTTGAGTAAGTTTATTAATCTCTCTATATTTCATTTTCTGTAGTTATAAAACACTGAAAATAATAAATGTGATTTAATCATTTTAAGTATTAAATTGAATAAACTCTGTACGTGAAGTAAGAAAAACGTCTGGCAACTTGTTACTGGTATACCAGTTTATGATTGCTACATTAATAGACAGGGAGTAAGTGTGTCTTATTGGCTGTTTGAACATATTTTTGATAATCGTGTAGAAAAGCTCCACATTTTGGAGCATGAAGATCTAGTGTCTTTTCCCTGCTATGAAACTAGGTCTTGCTCACCAGGTAGAAACTTCTGGTGCTATTGGCAGCCTAAGTTCTGTGTTGTCCCCACACATGCTGAAGGCAGCTAATGTGGACCTGCTGTGGCTGACTGCAGCATGCTGTGACCAGACTCCTGTTTGGGGTTTCAGGCTGAGTCACTCCACAGGAAGCGTTTTCACTGAGATGTAGGAGGGGAGTCCAATTTCCTTCTCCATTCTTTATATAAAGTCATCTGGACTGTTGTTATAAGATAAAAAGCTCTCACTCCTGCTGTGTCCTGAATGGAGCTTATCTCATTATTGGTCTGTCAGAGCTCCCTGCTGTGGTTCATGGCTCAGCAAAGGGTTAAGAAATTTCAAGTTTTGTCCCAAATAGCAATATATTCTAACTGTATCATACCAAATAATTCATTCTCTGCCCACATATTGTCATTTTGGAGTAGCCTTTTGTTCGCTGTATAGATGTATGTTATATTGCATGTAAATTATTTTTGAAAAATATTGTGTTATTAAGGGAGGAAACATTCATAAACTTGATACTGCTTATAGCAACTGGCATTGTAGACCCTTGCAAAATTATGGTGAATTGAGGACCAAGATGCCTTATGTTTGGATCCAGGCTACAATTTCTTCAAGTGGAAAGAAGCAGTCACACTGACTCAGGGAAAGAATATTAGCTTTGCAGGCAAACTATTTTTGTTTTGTTTTGTTTATGAGACAGGGTTTCATGTAGCCAAGGCTGGCCTCAAACTCCTTATTTAGCCAAGAATAAGAACTTCTGATCTGCCTACCCCACCTCCTGAGTGCTTGGATTTCAGGAATGTGCTACACTGGTCAGTTTATGATGTTCTAGAGATAGAACATAAGGCTTCATCTGTGGCAGGCAAGTACTCTACCAGATGGAATATATAACCAGTCCCCAAATGAATATTTGATTGTAATAACTCCAAGTCTTCTCTTTAACTTACGAGGGAAACTTTAACTAAATGCAATGGGTTCATCTCTTGGCAAGTACAAAGCCGAAATAAGCACAGCTGACACAAAATCATAGAGAAAGATTTATTACCTAAAGTGGCCTGAGATAGCATGGGAGTTGCTTTTCAAGCAGTGGCTTCCCAAAGAAAGGAATCCCATGGGGATGTTGCTCAGGGAGCCTATATAGAGGAGCTCATCCATTCCTAAACATGCTCAGTTTAAGGCCAAAGAGATGAACCTAATGCTGGAATGCTTCTGGACATGTTTAGTTTTCATGATAAGGTTTTACCTAAAAATAAAGAAAAGACTACTTGGAAGGTACATTAACACAGAAGTCTGCCTCATGTCTCCCGTAGGTGCCTGCATCACTTAGTGGCTAACAGTATGGCCTTAGGAACCCAGGTAGAGTTTAATGTGCAGACAAAATATTTGAGCAAAACATGAGAATAAAAGGAGGATTTATTTTGACTCAGTTTTAGGCCAGTTAGAAGAGAAAGGTGTGTAGGGCACAACAGATCATACCATGACAGCCAAGGAGAGAGAGAGAGAGAGAGAGAGAGAGAGAGAATTGGAATCAAATACATTTGCGCATTTGCCTAATAGTTTAATAACTGCTAATTTGGTGCAGAGATTGTGTGTAATTGTGATAAGAATTTCATCTCAGCTTTTCTCAGGGAGAGGGGAGGAGAGAGAAAGGGAAGAGATGAGATGAAAAGAGAGGAGAGGAAAGAGAGGAGATAGAGAGGAAGAAGACGTAGACAGATGAGGAGGAGGA